AAGAAAATTGCCGACAAGCGAATAACGTATCGCAAGTGGAATCAGCAAGAAAGCAAACGATGTACATCTGCTAGTACGCCACAAATCAGCTTCCAATACCGCCGAATAAAATAACAATAATATGGCCGTTTGCGCTGACAAGCGCGCGAAGGACTGCCAGGTCGCATACATTCCGCGAAATACGAGACGGAAGCCATCCTGTCGATGAAACGATCCCACAAGATGGACTGGATTCAAATTGTTTGAAGACGTCTCTAGGGCCAATAAGTCAAGCGCCGAATAAAAGGTGAAGGCATTGCAAAACGGCGGCTATTAACGTAGACCGAGCCTTAGCGTCACAGGACCATGAAATTATGAAACAGTGCATGAACAACAATGCCAAACGTACTACATTTATTTAATCGAGCTTTTTAAAGCCAATCTGATAACAATATTGCCGGAAGCATTGACGGCACATGTTGAGGCCATATTTCCTAATCAGACCGTGTCTGTTGGAGCAGACGCGGCAGCAACGGCTTCCCTGACCGCACGTTTTTGGATGCGAGTGGTTAATGGTGTCGAAACCCATAATGACTAAAAATTCCTGAAATAAATCAAAATAACCGAATCCTACCCGTAAACGGCAGAAGGCGTGAACAGCTTCGTAGAGCGCAGAAAAGTAATCCAACAGAGTAAAACAAAATTTCAAGCTCGGTTCGGTGACTGCCTCGCTCAAGTTTGAAATGGCTTATTTAATTATTCGGGCACCGGATCCAATGTATGCCTGCCTATCATCAGAAATTGCATGTTTAAAAAATATATCCGCTTTGAATATATAAAATTATAAAGCACTGGACCAACGGCAAATTCCCACGAAGCACTCCAACAGTAGCCAAAGTTCCCATGAAATGTAGATGGACTATTAGAAATGCGCGTGTTCAATCTGACTCCGATAAGAGGAAATCTTTCATTTAATATTAAAAAGAACACTGCACGCAGTAAGAATTAGAGCATTTGCAGCTGGCATGGAGCTAAAGGGTCTGCGGCCAGGTGGATAAATGTGATAGTTTCCTGGATCAAACGTTGTTCGGCTGTTCGACCATGGAGATTGCATAGTACCAATGGAACCCTTGAACATTTCGAGATATGAGCTGTTAAGTGCCTATAAAATAGATAGTTGATTTTAGTGGGGCCAACGGCACCTTTTAGCCCCGTTGGGTGAACAAGTTGGCGTTGACTACTGTGCTATTTACTTCGTCCCCGACAAGGTGGATTATTTTTCTTGAAGAGGTAATTCTATTTTTCTTTGGTAAATTTGTTTTTAACGATCATCACATCGCGTCACAAGTAAAGCAAATTGCGACTATTAGTGCTGGCGCAAATGAATTTGACCTAGCTGCGGTTGCGTGTTGAGGTTTTTAAATAGCCCAAAATTGTGCAGGTTGTGGCCTTTTTTCACTTGCTTCAGGTCTATAGAGTATCATCAAATATCGAGACAAAGAAGTGCGCGCTATCGAGGTTACGGAAGAAGACTGCTAACTGGGCATTAACGAGTTTTTTTTGAAAACACACTTTTGTGAAATGCCCAATATGACTTCGCAAAGGAAGTGAAGGTGTCGATTTCTTCTTTAGAATGACACAAAAGTGGACTAAAAAATTCATCTGAAGATACATTGTATGCATCATCTACTTTAACTTAGGAAAAACCTTTAGTTATGCATCCCTTCACCGTCTGCTTTACGATCTGATAATAATATCCACCAGGGGCTATAGTTAGTTGGTTGGAAACATCCTTTCAGACATTCCCATGAACGTCAGCACTCAATCAATCAGCTATAGATATCGATGTTCCTCCACTCGCTGTAGCCATTGGCACTGTCCAGTGAGATGGGACCATAATGTTGGTGGCGAATTATGAGGGTTTGAAACGTTCTTTGTCGTGGGAGAAATCGTATAACAGCC